GGGCGGCCAGGCGTTTGCGGCCAGGGCGGCGGGTGAGTGATCTGCGGGTCCTGAGGCTGGAGCGGAGGGTGTGGAAGCCCAGGAACCTGACTCGGGACCAGGGCTAGGGGGCGTGTTGGAGGGGAGGCTGCTTCCACGCTGTGTGAGAGGCGCGGCAGTCGGCTCGGGGCTGGCGGAAGTCTTAGGGTCCAGGCTGGGATGAGGGTAATTGGGCGCTCAGGGTCTGGGCGCGGAACTATCTCCAGGGGTTCGGCGTGGGGTGGGTGGACCACGCTCACGAACCTCTCCCCCCGCCCCCCTCTGGGCAGCGCCCGCTCCGGGCTGGGACTGCTGCTGGGCACCGCCGCGGGCCTCGGATTCCTGTACGCCCTGTACAGACAGCGGTGGAAACGGACCCGGCGCCATGGCCAGAACCAGCTCCTGCCCAACTCCCTGGACGTCACGCAGACTTCAGGGCCCAGACGCCAGGGTAGGAGCCGGTCCTCTGAGGCCGCAGTCACGGCTGGTGGATGGGCCTGGGATGCAGCCTGTCCTAGCAGAGCCTATGGGACGGGACAGCAGGGGCGGGTGCCTGAGAGTTTCACCTTCTTGGAAAGCTTATTGAAAAGGAAAGCATTCTCCCTCTTCTGTACTCTTTCCCCTGTAATCCCAGGAAAGTATATCGTGAAAAGGCTGCTTAGCTTTCACTTTTGGTTTTGGCCACAGTGGTGTTACATATACATATTAAAGACACTTGCTAGTGTTGGGTGAGGTGTTTAATAAGTAGAGGAAGAGTTCAAAAGAAAGCAAAAGGAAAAACAAGTCTTGTAGGAATTAAAAGTCCTGAGGCTTACGTGTTAAATTACATATTAGAATGTAGGGGTCTTGGAGACTACCTAGTCCAAGTGTTTTTATCCTTCTTATGATGAAATCAAGATTAAGAAAGATTGTGTAACTTTCCCGAGGTTGTCACAGAGCAAGAGGCAGGATTGGGCCTGGTCACCCAGTCCCATGAACTTCACATGCCATGGGGCTGCGAGCGAGCTTACTTGCAATGAAGCTGAATATGGGTGGAAGCCAGCCACAGCTGGAATGGGTCGTGCTTTCAGTTTTGCAAAACTTTCATGTTAAATTAACTCATTTGAGCAAAGGGCTGGTTCAAACCTCATGTTCCTGTAATAGTGGAGTTTTCAGAGAATCTTACCCTATGTTAATTGGAAATGAGTTTTTCTCTGATAACCAAATGCCAAGTGGTTTAGAAAATTTAGTTTTAGAAGAGTCTTCAAAGAATTATCATTTAAAAAAATATATTTTTATTGATTTCAGAGAGGAAGGGAGAGAGATAGAAACAATGAAGAGAAAGAAATCATTGATCAGCTTCCTCCTATACCAGGGATCCCTGAAACCCAGGCATGTGCCCTGACCAGGAATTGAACTGTCACCTCCTGGTTCATAGGTTGACGCTCAATCCCTGAGCCACACCTGCTGGGCAAGAGTTATCATTTTAAATTGTAACGTTTGTCAGCATTTTATAACCTGATAGTAACCTAATGTATGCTGGTCTTTCCTTCATTTTCCTTGTGTTTTGTAATTTCTCAGCAGTAGTGGTTCTGCTGAGGTTGGGAGAAAGTGGCTCTGTTCCCAGGGACCGTCTTGTCTCCAGTCTTGAGTACTGTTGGATGTGTATTGTAATCTGGCCTAGACTGTTACTAGATTTAACGGAGTTGTGCTTCCTCGACTGTGGGTTCTGCCTCCCTCGTTTCTTTCCTGTTTTTACACTTTCCAGTAAAATTGCCTTAGGTAGTAGCTCTCCGTTTACTAGCATTTACTGTTGGAGTTTATGTAGAGCTCAATTCAGATCTTGGTAATACTGTTTTCCAATGTCTTTTTTGAAATTAAATCTTTACTGTTGAGAGTGTTATAGATGTCCCTCTTTCCCCCTCATTCCCCCTCCACCTGCTTCCCGCCCTCCAACTTTTTTGATGGGCTTTTCCCACTGTACCTTTTCTCTCAGTAACTACCCTTTTTCTCTTTGCCCCTCTCTGATGACAGTAAAAGAAGTTCTTGAAAGGAGCTGTGTTCTTTGCTATTCTCTGTGAAGTGAAAGATCAGAATTTGAGTGAACTCAATTTTAGTTTTGCTGTGTGGTGGGTATTGACAGATATTTGGGCATTATATGCAGGAATACCTCATTTAATTGTGCTTCGCTCTATAGTGCTTCACAGACATTGCATTCCCCCCCACCCCCAAATCTTCACTAGCAAAATATTACGACTCACTTTATTGTGAAATTTGATTTATTGCAGTGGCCTGGAACCAAACCCGCAATGTCTCCGAGGTTTGCCTATAGTCAGATACAGGTTTTTCTTTCAGTTTAGCAGGGCAACTGTCCTGACTTTGAGGAATCTAACTCTTGCAAGCATTTTATTTTATATTTATTTTTTCTTGCAAGCATTTTATATCATCTGGCCTGGTGTGTTATCCTGCCACAGGTTGGTGTGGGAGGGTCCTGGAACAGAGGGCTCTTGTTTATGGATGGGGACCTTGATGTTTTTTCTGGATAATTACTTGGGACTTGTTAACAAGACAGCTGGGAACATATGCCTTCACTGTGTCCCATGGACATCATGTCTCCTGTCCTCCTTCCTTCAGTGAGGTCATTGCGAGCGGTCCCAGGGGAGGCTGGAGATGCTGCGGTGCTGCCCAGCCTTCCACCAGAAGGGCAGGAGATGGTGCTGGACCGCCTGGACTTCGTGCTGACCAGTCTGGTGGCGCTGCGGCGGGAGGTAGAGGAGCTGAGGAGCAGCCTGCAGGGGCTTGCTGGGCAGATTGTCGGGGAATTCCGGTGAGTAATCAGCCTCCTCTCCTGCCTTGTCCCCAGCCTCTACACTTTTTCAGCTGAGCTGTGTTCTGGCCTTCACTGTGTCTCCAAGGAGGAAGCCAGCTTTATAGCTCCTCACCTAGTTGGCAGGGAAGCTGGCCTTGCTGCCAGCAAGTTCCTTGCTGCTTTTGGGCCTTTGTAATCTGTTTTAGCAGCTGAAACGCTTTGTTCGGACTAACCTGGTCTGCCATGGTCTATCCAGAGAGCTGCCCTTGTTCTCTTGAGTGTAGAGACCCAGGATTTTCTTAAAATATATGTTCTTAATTTATTGATTTTAGAGAGGGGAGGATGGGGAGAGAGAACGAGAGAAAAACATTGATTTGTTCAACTTATTCATGCATTCATGAATGACCACCCGTAACCTTGGTGTGCCGGATGACATCTAACCAACTGAGCGACCTGGCCAGGGCTGAGACCCAGGATTTTCTCTGCTCTTGGCCCCTTAACGAGGTGCGGTAGTAAGAGGCTCCCTCATGGTGAGGGAAAGAGGCTGGGTGGGCCTAAGCCACCGTGCTTTTCAGATCCCACATGGAAGAGAACCAGAGAGTGGCTCGGCGGCGAAGGTTCCCGTTTGCCCGAGAGAGGAGTGACTCCACTGGCTCCAGCTCTGTCTACTTCACAGCCACCTCGGGAGGCACGTTCACAGATGCGGAGAGCGAAGGCGGGTAAGGCCTCTCTGGAAGCAGCTGTCTCACAGATGCGGAGAGCGAAGGCGGGTAAGGCCTCTCTCCTGGAAGCAGCTGTGGCTCCAGCCAGGTTACATGTTGTGAAAGCAATGCTTACCAATGGAAAATTCACACCAAGCTGCCAGAAATAATTTTTGGAACAAAGTAAGGGTATGAATCAGGGGTGGGGGACATCTGGCCCGTGGGCTGTATAAGGCCCATGAAATCATGTGGTCTGGCCCTGCTAAGGCATTAGGGGTGAGTTAAGTAATGTTTGGCCGAAGATAGCAGGCTAACTTTTAAGTTGATAATTTCGTATGGCCTGTGAATGATGTTATAAATATCCAAATAGTCCCTAGCAGAAAAAGGTTCCCCACCCCTGGTATAAACAAATACAGAACAGTTGAAATAAGAAAAACCATCCACCTTATGTCATCCAGACAAATAGAAATGTTAACAGTGGTTACTGCTTGCATCTGTTATTTTCCTCTGAGTAGGTTTGTTTTTTACATTGTTATTGTATGTTTTTTATTTATATTTTTCTCTATAATGTTACCAACTTTTGTTTTATTAATCCTCACCCGAGGATATTTTTCCATTGCTTTTCAGAGAGAGTGGAAGGGAGAGAGGGACAAAGAGAAACATCAGTGTGAGAGAGACACATGGACCGGCTGCCTCACACACGCCCTGACCGGGGCCAAACCTGCAACCCATTATGTGCACTTGGCCGGAATCAAACCCGAAACCCTTCCCATGACCCTTTAGTGCACAGGCCAATGCTCTAGCCCAGCGGTTCTCAACCTGTGGGTCGCGACCCCTTTGGCGGTCGAACAACCACTAACCTGTGGATCGCGACCCCTTTGGCGGTCGAACAACCACCCTTTCACAGAGGTTGTCTAAGACCATTCTGCATATCAGATATTTACATTATGATTCATAACAGTAGCAACGTTACAGTTATGAAGTAGCAACGAAAATAATTTTATGGTTGGGTCACAACGTGAAAACTGTATTTAAAGGGCCAGAAGGTTGAGAACCACTGACCTACCCATTTAGCAGCACGAATTGAGCCTTTTCCTGAGTTATCACAAGAACTTTGCTTCCTTCCCTGAGTGTGCTCCCCTTCCCCTGGATACGCTCCTCTTCCCACAGGAGAGGCTGGCTTCCTTGTCAGCTTTACAGCTGGGAGGTGACTGTCCGAGTAATTGGCGGCCCAGCAAGTCTGACCACAGGCCTGGCCGTGAGAGGTGGCAGCAGGCAGGCATCTCGTGGGCAGCCTCCAACGTCGGTCAGGCTGAAGCTTTTGATTTGAAACCACTAGTGCCATTTTGAAACTTTGGTCCCAAGCAAGAAGTCTGGATGAGCACCTTTGTTGTAATGCCTGATGCTGTCCTGGCGGCATCGGCCCTTGTTTGCTGCTCAGCTCCAGCGATCCCGGTAGTGTGCGCGGTCTAGAGGCTGACCTCTCTTCCTCCTCGAGAAAAAGATTGGCGCAGAGAATACCCAAGCCTTCCCTTGGGTCAGGATGTCGGATTCAGCTATAAACAGGCCATTCAGGGGGACTTTGCAGCACTCTCTTTAGCTGAAACACATTATAGTATTAACTGCTGGTTATTCGTTCTCTGTGACAAGCATGGTACTAAGCACTTTGGAGGTATTTTCTGACTTAATCCTCACAAGAATCCTATGGAATAGATGCTGTTTTTCTGTTTCTCAGAGCAGACTTGAGGCTTGGCCAGGTGTGATGCCTTGCCCAGGGTTGTACAACTGCCAGGTCCAGGGTTAGCTGGCTCATCTGCAGAGGTGTGAGGGTCTGTGATCTGAGGTACGGCTTGGTCGTCAGGGCACAGAAGGGCCTTCACGGGAAGACGGGTCCCATGCAGCCCTGGGAGTTCCTCCCATGGACTAAGCTGCCACAGCTCACTGCCCACAGTACAGTGTGTTCAGTACATCTCACTCAAGAGATTTCAGCGTTGTTTGGGCCATTCTCCTGCCTCTACTCTTTGGCTTTCTAAGAAAATTAAGAATCGTATTACTCTCTTTTTCCACGTCACTGCCATTGGGCACTGGTGCTGGATTTGATTATTGCTTAGATGCTTTTTGAAACAAGTGAAGTCTTTCCCTGGCCAGTGTGGCTTAGTTGGTTGGAGCATTGTCCCATACACCGAAAGGCGGCTTTGCTTCCGGGTCAGGGCACATACCCAGGTTGTAAGTTCGATTCCAGGTCGGGGCACGTGGGGAAGGCAACTGATCTATGTTTCTCTTTCACATGGGTGTTTCTCTCTCTCTCTCTCTCTCTCTCTCCCCCTCCTCTCTCTAAAAATTAATAAAATAAAAGAAAGAAGCAAGTCTTAGTAGAACTTTAGTCCTCCATTCATGGCTACTGATGCCTGGGTTGTCTGATCCCTGTTGTCTGTGTTCAGTTTACCTAATAACTCTGCGCTGAGAGCTTCCGGTGGGCTGTTTTAGGGGCAGAAAGGACTATTTGACATAAAGGAACATCTGGATTGAAAGGACAGAGTGGTTGCTAATGGACCCTGAGACTTAGGAGCATCTTTATGCACCCAAGGAAGCAGGTCACGTGGGTGGGGATCTGATGTTTGAGCTTTGTCAGAGGTAGAACAGGAGAGGTCACAGATTTGCCCAAGATCGGGATGGAGAACTCAGGCCTTTGATGATTTCTAAGGAGTTCAACAAACTTCTGCTTAACCAGGGAAGCTTGTGGGTGCTCACTGGGGCCCCCGTAAGGGGCAGGACAGGACAGGCCTTCCAGCCACCTGTGATGGGATGAGAGGAAGGGTGGCTTTCTTAATTATAGCTCCAGCGGCTCAGCCCCACGACTGATAATGTGACATGTGGAAGAGAATGGGGTGTGTGAAGCAAGACTCTGGTTTAGCTGGCTGCCATCTGGGGCAGTGGCCATAGTGAGTAATTATTTTGCCATGGTCACTGCCATATAGGTCAAGGGGAAGTTATGGGAGACCTCAAACTCTGGAATGACTTTGAACATGTGGGTCCGGGGCAAGGAGTGCCTGTTTGAGGGATGAAAGGATAAGAATATCTGATGGGCTACTCCAGTCCCCTGGAAGCTGCAGTATCTTTCATTCCCCGAATAAGTTAGTAACTTTGAGTCCCAGAGGACTGACTGAATGTGGCAGAGGCGGAGTCACTGTGTGGGTCCGTGGGCTTGTTCCCCGAGTATTGGAGCAAACACAGCTTTAGTTCCCTCCCTGTAAAAACCAGACTCGCCCTGAAACACCAGTCCTCCAGCAAGCCTTCAGGCATCCCAGCCCAGAGGGACTGCCTCCCATCTCATCTCCTTTGGCATTTACCACCTCGTTTAGGCTGCTGTTATCTCACTCCACTGGGAGGTCCCAGGGTCAGAATCCACACCTATTTGTCTTTGAATGCTTCAGCTCAGCCCTCTCATGGGGCTTAGGAGTTCAAGGAAAGAACTTAATTGCCAGGAGGAAGACGCGTGTAACAGTCCTTGATCACTCAAGGAGTAGGATAGCTCTGGGCTCCCTGCTCCCAGGGAGCCTTGGATTCTCGGCCCCCTGTGGGGACAGTGTTCCGCCTGAGTGTAGAGATCCTAATGGCCTTTCCAGAGGTCTCTGCCAGTCCCTTGCTGACCTCAAAGCTCCCTGGCATATTCAACAAGAGGGCCACCCCCCTCTCTTGTGGATTTCTGCAAGGGTTGGGATGGTGGTCCAAGGGGTGTGAGAGCATGTGAATGTAGGGACGGCAGCCCATGTAGCTCTGGCACGTGATCCTCTCTCAAACCCTGGAAGCCCATGGGGCTGAGGTCAGTGCTCACTCAGCAAGTGTCTGCCTGTCCACTGTGTGCCAGGCAGCAGGTTTGCAAATTAGCGAGGCAGAGCTCCTCAAAGTGGGGCTGAGGTGCAGTAAAAGGCCTCCTCACTGTGCCAGCCTTGCTTTAGCCTCCCTGCCCCACCACCTCTCAGTGGGTGGCAAAAAGGCCCCTCCTGACCTCTCTTTCTCCTTAGCCTTTAGGACCCAGAGGGATCACAAATTGTAGGACTTTCCTCCTGGCTCCGCTCCCTGGAGACTGTTGATGCCTGTGCTCTAGCATAAGAGCAGGGGTCCCTCCTGGGAGACTCCTGATTGGCCAAGACAGCCTTCAATCCAGGAGGGAATGGGGTCTCCCTTTCTTTCTAGCAACTGGAGTTGATGAGACTCAAGCTCTCCCCCAGATAACCACTCCCATTTGCCGTTGGCCTGGCCGGGCTGAGCGGGGGAGGTTATTGTCCAGGCCCAGGAGTGGTTGGGTTTCTCTCGATGCCCCTGTGCCGCCTCACCCATCACCACTCAGGATGATTGTGAAATCTGATGCCACTTTGCCTTGTCCCTTTAATTTCTCAAGTTTTTCCTGCAAATTGCTAGAGAAGAAAGATGTTTGGTAAGTTCTTAAAAAGCAGGGTGAAGTTGTCAGTTCCTATGGTAGATGTTACTAGGGCCCCTTTGTTAGCGGATTCTGGAAGCTCCTCTATAAAGCAGTCCAGCAGTCGGCATGGATTGCTCACCTGGTGCTTTCTGGATGGAACCTGCCTCCTTATCACGTCTGGCTTTCTGGCCTACAGCGTTCAGCCCACCTCTCTCCTTCAGTTCTGTTTTGCTCCAGCAATAGGGACCTTTCATTCCAGGATGGAGGAAGGTTACCACCTGAAGGTCCTCCCTATGCTTCAGAGCCTCGTGGCTTGTCAAACCTGCTTTTCCTTCAACTCCGTCCGGAGGCCTCTCTGGTGTCTGATTCTGGCCCCTGGAAGCCTTACCTTCTCCCCTGCTGTTTCTGTCTGATTCAGTCGCGGTTAGGAAACACCCTAATCAGCTGCTGGTACAGGCCAACATCTGAGAGAAACCTGGCTTCCTGCTCAGTGGGGAATCGAGGTTGGGGCTCCCTGGCTTATGGTGGCCCAGAGATACCTTCCCAGTGGGTTCTGCTTGCATCATCCTTCTCTCCTGCTTCTACCTGCAAATGGCCCTCGCCCCACCTCTAGCAATTGCAAAGGTTTCCAAGGGCTATTCCTGTTGTAGTTTAGGTTTGCTGACTGGCTTGGATAGAGGCACACATTGAATTGAGAAAGAAAATGTGGATATCTGTGGCTGCCCATGCCTCAGAGGCTGGCACCCACCCATGCTGGTTCTGACAGATGCCTTTGGCTGATAAAGCAAAAAAGATCGACAGACCCTGAGCCTGGTGTGCCATCTAGCTCAGGAGATCAGCTCCACCTACATGAAAGTTTATCTTTATTTAAAAAATTATTTATTTGATTTGAGAGAGAGAGAGAAAGATCAATTTGTTGTTCCACTTATTTATGCATTCATTTGGTTGATTCTTGTATGTGCCCTGACTGGGGATTGAACCCATAACTTTGGTGTACTCATACAACACTCTAACCAAATGAGCTACCCAGCCAGGGCTAAAGTTTTAATCTTAAACATTCATTTATTTTTTATTTATGAGAATATAGTGTGGCTCTGTGGTTAGAGCACTGGCCCACATACCAGAGGGTCGAGGGTTCGATTCCAGGTCAAGGGCATGTATCTGGGTTGCAGGCTTGATCCCCAGCCCCAGCTTGGGGCCTGTGTGGGAGACAACCAATCGATGTATCTCTCTCACATTGATGTTTCTCTGTCTCTCCCTCTCCCTTCCACTCTCTCTAAAAGTCCATGGAAGAACATGCTTGGGTGAATATTAACAAAACAAAACAAATAAAAAAAGAGAGAATCATTTTGTTTGGTATTTGTGTGCCCTCAATTCATCAACTGTTGCCGGTTTTGTATTATAAACTTTATGTATCCCATTAAAAAAGTCTAGTGGATAAATTTTCTTTGTTCAAAGCTTAAATTGGCTTCACCCATTATTTCAAATCAGTTAAACCTAAAAAGGAGTGAAAATTAAGCGAGTTATCAGCTATTAAATTGTGTATCCATGTTTTGGGATACCCTGCATATGCTCATTAAAGCAATCATACTACCTGCCATCTGAAGGGTCCCAGGTTCAATTCTGGTCAAGGGCACATGCCCAGGTTGTGGGCTTGATCCCCAGTAAGGGGCGTGCAGGAGGCAGCCGATCAATGATTCTCTCTCCTCATTGATGTTTCTGTCTCTCTCTCCCTCTCCCTTCCTCTCTGAAATCAATAAAAATATATTAAAAAATAAAAATAAACAAAAGATAGAAAAATAATTTCCTTAAAAATTTGTTAAAATCCTCACCTCCTCACCCGAGGATATGTGGTGTGTGTATGTGTGTGTGAGAGAGAGAGAGAATCCTCACCTGAGAATATTTTTTCCTTTTTTTTTT